CCTACACCAGAACGAAAACGTTGAAACCATCTTTGTGCGGTGGAAATGGCAACTGTATCGGGTCCATAAACTGCACAAWTTTTATTGGCGGCTTGAGATGCATTTATGCCTTTATCGTAGTAATATTGTAAAATATGCCGTACTTTATCTTTATTTTGTCCGATGTTTGCGACGCTATAACTCACGAACGACTTAAAAGAAACGACATTCGATCAAGCACGTGTTAGCGCGTGAAATGAGCTTTCCAAAAAGATATAGCCTGACCCGATGCGACGAATAAAACTAGAAATACCCGCTCTCAGCACCAACTAGCGAAAATACCGCAAGACTTTTTTGACATCCTAATATACCACGGAAAAGTATATCGTTGCATTGTAAGAAATTGAGTTTCTTCGAATATGGTGTTAAAAATTTTTTTTCGTAAAACTCACCGTTAAAAAAGAGTGTTACAGATTAATTATTTTAAATATTTCTGTTAAATTTTTTTCCTGAGTTTTATAACTCGCTAATAAATATTTTATGATATATTTACTACCAACCATGCTGTCCTCGTATTAATATTAAGAGCTCATAGTTGGAGAAAATATTTTTGAGGAGTTCACAAACTRATTGTACATGGTATAAGCTGAAGAACATTGACATTGACAATTGACCCGCCCTAGATTATGTATGCGTGTCGGGGTCAATAYTTGTCCAAACTGATATTCTATATGTGTTTATAATGGAAGAAAAAACWTTACATACAATTTGGTGCTTTTTATGTGTATGTGTCTCAGCAACCTTTTCTAACTGTTTGTATGTATGCATTCGTGCTTTTATGTATAAATGCTCGATTTGTTGCATGTACTGAAGAGTGTTTTTAAATGTATTTGCATTTATTTATGCTTGTACCATGCTCACTAATATTCGCATATAATTATTTCTAATGTCGTATATATTAATTTTTAATGCCATATAAACCTTTTTCTTTAATTTCCTACACACACCAAMATAAGTACAWGCATACACCTATTAATTTACTAAATTTTTATCTAATTTATACGCCATGTTGCATTTGAAGCGCATCTAATTAATTTTATCGGCCATTAATTGCATAATTTTTCTGATGATGCAACATATTTACTATTGTTGCACTTGCAACACATTTGCATAGATACACACACATATACATAACTAATGACTAGAGCGCTGCAATTAATATTAATAACAAATGAGAGCAGCGCAACGGATGGTCAACGAAAAGTTAGGAAGAGGGAAAAAATAGGTTTACAAATTAACCACACAACAACAAACTGAGAATGCGTAAGGTACGGTTGCACCGAAGCTATAATACCCACTACAAATAAAAAGTTTTCTGCTATATAATATAGTAGTCCGTTCAAAACAATATATTCGCCGCATGTACCGTTACTTTGGACAATAATCCGTACCAAATTTGGTAAGATATCTTGTCAAACAAAATAATTTTCCATACAAGGATTGAGTTTTGTTGGTTTAGTTCCTATGACCACTATATGATATAGTAGTCCTATCTGAACAATATATTAGAAGAGTGTACCATTACCTAGGAAAATAAACCCAGCAAATTTTTATTAAGATATCTTCTCAAACAAAAAAGTTTGCCATATAAGGACTTCATTTTGATCGTTCTTTTGTATGGCAGCGAGGTGTTATAGTAGCCCGATATCGGTGGTTACAGCACACGAGCAAACTCTTTGAGAGAAAGCGAAGTGTGTCAGATTTCAGATTGATGTCTGAAAAACTGAAGGTCATTTATAAATATTATATAACTATTTTATAGGGTCTCCGACATAAGCTTCAAGGCAAACTCATTACACCCTGCACAGAGTTTAAATATGTTATGCGAAAACCTGTCCATAAATCCAAAAAAAAAAAAAGAGTTAAACCTGTGCATGTGGCTAATAACAATGCTTTTTGCTGTTTTCGTATTGTTGTAAATAATAAATGTGTAAGCGAAGATTTGTAGCGCAAAATAGAAATTTTAATGCCATTATAGCAACACACACATACACGTACTCACACACGCGCCACGCTTAATTACACATTTCACGCATGTTAATGTGTTTATGTTTTGTTTTTATTTTCGCCAAAATCTCATTTACATTTGTGATTATCGCTAGCGCACTGCCCAGCTTATTTATCGCTAACAATTAATATGAATTACAAACAATTTAATAGTTTTATAAACACATACAACCATGCATATACATATGTATATATAAATAATTTTTGTGTATTGGCAGTTGCCACCTGTATTTTTTCGGCATTAAATTAATGTAACACTATTGTTTTTTATTAGTTCTCCACTCGCCGCACTCAGCTTTGTTTAACGATCKCATTATTAGCTGAGTTGCGTTAATTAAAAGGCGGATGTTGCCAACAACTTTTGACATTTTTTCAGT